TTTTCGCAATGGACATAAAAGGTGTGACGGGTATTCAGAGGGTGAATGCCAATAAAATAGCAGTAATATTCAAGCAGTATAATACTGCCAATAATTTTATTAATAATACCACTTTCCTGACAAAATATGACATGAAGGCGTTCATACCGGCAGCGCAAATTGAAAAAACCGGCATCATTAGATTTGTTCCAGCGAATATCTCTAACAAAGAACTTTATTCTAGACTAACTTCAATTTATGAAATAGTGGCAATAAGAAGGTTTTCAAAGAAGGTAGGACAAGAGCGCATTGCATTGCAAACTGTAAGCATCACTTTCTTATCTAATGTACTGCCTAATAATGTACAATACGATCTATTCTCGTACAGAGTTTTCGAATACATTCCACCTTTACTACAGTGCTATAGGTGTTTTAAATTTAATCATTCAGCTAAGATTTGTAATGGGAAACAAAGATGTAGTATTTGCGGAGGTGAACACTTGTATAAGCAATGTGATAAACCAACTGAGATCAGCTGCATAAATTGTAGTGGGCCTCATCTTGCGATTTCTAGATTATGTCCTATCAAAATAAAGAAGATTAGTGAAAAGAAAAGCAACATTTCTTATGCAAGTGTTGCCTTAACAAAACAAGTTACCACCAATGAAACAGATTTCCCTCCACTCCCTCCACCAAAACCACAACTTGTAAATAGTAATGTTATTGTAAATAAGTCTGTAAATATCTCTGCAAATAAGTCGGATGTAAATAAAGTTAAAATAGTCCCTTCTAAGGACCTTAAAAATCAAATAATTTCCAACAACGATGTACTTATGGCCCTAGTGCAGACGTTGGTGGAATTAGCCAATAAAGATGACAGTACACCCACGAATATGAAAACTATAAAAGATGCATTATTAAAAAATTTAACATAATGGATTGTGTAGGGCCTAGTTCTACACAATCCAAGCTACGTATTGTTCAGTTTAATATTCAAAGTGCAAATAGTAAAAAACCTTTATTAATTCAATTTTTAAAACAACAAAATATTGATATTTGCCTTCTAAATGAGACATGGTTTAAAGATAATAATTTTAAAATACCAGGATATAATATTTACAACAAAAATTCAAACAATGCACATAATGGAGTTGCAATACTAATAAAACCATACCTTAAGTATAATATATTAAATACTAGATTTTATGAAGATATACAAACAGTTGGTGTATCTGTATCAACTGGACATAGTAGTTTAACAATTCTCTGTATATACTGTCCACCTTCAAGTGGGCGTATACGATTTAATAGACTCCGTTACATTATTAATGATCTACCAAAGCCCATATTTATGAGTGGTGACTTTAATGCTCATCATATTGCATTTGGTTGTCAGTCAACCAAAGGTAGAGGTCAGGAGTTATTTAATTTAATTGATGACTTAGATTTGTGTATTTTAAATGATGGTAGACCTACAACCTTAAATCGCCCAAGACAAACTGCTTCTGCCATTGATGTAAGCTTCATTAGTGGCAGCCTCGCACCACTATGTGAATGGTCTGTACATGATGATACAATGGGAAGTTACCATTATCCAACAATAACAGAGATTTCATTAGATATAGATAAATATCATCTCAATTCCCCTGTAGATAGGTTTATATATAAAAGAGCTGACTGGGAAACATACACAGATCTTTCAAAAACAATGTTTAATGATTTGATACTTCAATCACATGATCCTATTTCAACATATAATAATTTCTGTTCTCATTTAGATACTCTTAAAGAAATGTCAATTCCAAAGCTCACTAAAACAAACACTTTCATAAGCAGACCACCATCTCCTTGGTGGAATTGTATATGTGAAGAAAGTGTTATTGCTTCATATAATGCACTAAAACTATATAGAAAAGAACCTACTATTGAAAATTATATTAATTACAAAAGAAAAGATGCCCAGAAAAAGAGAACAATTTCAGAACAGAAAAAAATTGGATGGAATAACTTATGTAACACATTTAATAGAAATACTCACATAAGTAAAATTTGGAATTTATTAAAAATGTTCAAAGGCATAAGACCTAAGAATAAATCATATACAGATGTGTTTATATCTCCACTCTTGGATAAATTATCAGATAATAGCAACTTAATTGAAGTAGATCAACTGAACATTGTTTTTGAAATCAACAATGATAACCCAAATTCAAAATTTTTACTGGATCCATTTTCATGGTCTGAATTTTTAACAAGTTTGCACTCTAGACGAAATACAACTCCTGGCTTAGATGATTATCCTTACATTGTAATTAAAAACTTAGATGTTTCTGCCCAAAAGTTGTTTCTTAACATCCTCAATTTGCTTTGGAGTAATAAATCTATTCCACAGTCATGGAAAACACAATGTGTTGTCCCAATACTTAAGCCCGACAAATGTTCTGAGTTTGCTAGTTCTTATAGACCAATTTCCTTGTCATCCTGCCTTGGTAAAATATTCGAAAATATGGTGAAAGTCCGTCTCTATTGGTATGTTGAATCTAAGTGTTTCATTCCACATATACAATTTGGCTTCCGTAGAGGGCGTTGTAGTGCAGACAGTTTCACCTCTTTAATCTCTGACCTGAAAAATGCAAAACATAGAAAATTAAACACAGTTTGCGTATTCCTAGACGTTCAAAGTGCTTTTGACAGTGTTGATCCTGGTATACTAGTTCAAATCATGTCTAAGTTGGGTGTGCCCGGGCACTTATGTAAGTGGATTTTTAATTTTTTGAACAACAGAACAATCTATGCTAGGCATAACAATATTCTATATGGACCCAAATGTGCCTCGAGAGGTACAATGCAGGGTGCCACACTATCTCCATTACTGTACAATATATACACAAGTGAAATTTGTAAATATGTAGGTAAATAATAGGAATGTAAATATTTTACAATTTGCTGATGACATTGTATTATACAGTAGTAATTACAACTTAGAGATTGCAATAGATAATATGAACAAATCCTTATTTCAACTATTACAATATTATAATTATCGTTTACATTTAAAAATTAACCCATCTTAAAGTAGTGTTATGTTTTTTGGCAATGAAGCCTCAAATTCAAATATTATTTACAATAATGAAATTATAAATAGAGTCACTTCAAAGAAATTTTTAGGAATAATACTAGACCCAAAACTAACTTTTGAAGAACATATTAAATATATATCCAAAAATGCTCACAGAGGACTAAATGTTATCAGATCACTTTTTGGTGTAACATGGGGTGCAGACCCAAAAATATTGTCAATATTGTATAAAAGTATTGTTAGAAGTCACTTAGATTATAGCTCACTCGCTTATATGAATAGTTCTCATGTAAATAAATTAGACATATTGCAGAATAAGGCTTTAAGAATAATATCTGGTGCTATGTGCTCAACTCCCATAAGGGCCATGGAAGTTGAGACAAAAGTGATGCCTTTGATTTTGAGGCGAATCTTACTTGCTGAAAGATACTGTCTCAAATTAATAGCATCAAACAACACTCAAGTAATAACCAAAATTGTACCTTATATAGATAGATCCCCAAGAATACCATTAACAACAGCACAAGGTCTAATATGTGGTAATTCTCCAACAATGTCCGATATATTTCTGGAAATAGACAATAGTTTTTCTAAAGTTAGAAAACAGTGTCCATGGCCATGTTACTCTTTCTCTTATCAGTGTATTTCACATCCAATTAATGTAGTCCAACAGACAATAAACAATAATTCGGAAATGCTTCAATTTTTGGAGGAAAATACAATGTACTATGTTATCTACACTGATGGGAGCAAAGCAAGTGATTATGTACATGCTGCTCTATATGATCCACAAGCAAAATTTTCTTCAAGTTTTATTCTGCATGAACCCTGCTCTATATTTACGGCAGAGGCATATGCAGTGTATCAGGCATTAATGCGTATTCGCGAAATCAATAATATTAAATATTTTTTAATAATTTCTGATTCCTTGAGTTTGATAACAGCTTTAACTACCCTTACAGTTAAATTCAAGTCTAATTATATCCTTTACTTCATTAAACAAATAATTCAACAATATCACAATAACAATATTCAAATTTTCTTTCTATGGGTACCTTCCCACAAAGGTATCTCTGGCAATGAAATGGCTGATAAAACTGCATATGAAGGAATTAATGCTGTTGACGTTAGAAATACAATGAATGTTCCTATGTCCGATTACTTGCAATGTATTGACCAGAATATTCAAAATTTGTGGTTAGAAATGTGGAAGAAAGATCAAGATACGAAAGGAAAATGGTATGGAAGCATACAAGTAGAATTACCTGCAAGACCTTGGTATCATCGTATGCAAGATGCTCCTCGAGACTTTATTACTATCATAAATAGACTGCGTTTTGGTCATAATACTGCACCGTCACACCTTGCTCGACTCGGCATTATTGCGAATAAAACATGTTCACATTGTAATTCAAGTGATGGAACTGTGGAACACATTATCTTCGATTGTCAAAAATTTTTGATAGACAGACTAGTGTTGGCCAGTGAACTTAGTGATGTTGAAAATAAGTGTGATTTATTGTCCCGCCCGCCGCCTTTAAAAGAATTGTTACAAGACGAACTTACTTATAAGCACATCTACAATTACATAAAAAATACAATAAAAACAATTTAATGGAATGTGCTCATAGGCGTAACATTACGTCTATGAAAATTAAGAGTTGACCTAAAGGTTGTACATGCCAGGTCATAAAACCCCAAAAAAAAAAAAAAAAAAAGTCAAGTGTCACATTATTTTCAACATTAAGGAATGTCAACAAAGATCAAAGTGAATAAATTGTTTTGAAAACAAGAAAAGAAACTTTGGGGAAATTGTGATAATTAATTTATTGTAAAGATGATGAAATGTACTAATGTAAATAATTCCTGATTTCAAAATTCGGTTTCTGGTGTTTTGGCTCAACTCATCATTCATCAGGATATATTTAGGTAGTTAATTAAAATGAACGAAATAGACGATAAATTTTATTACGTTTATAGCTCGTCATTAGATCATAAAGTGGAAATAAAGATGTAAGTTTACCTTTTCTAAATGCTCTTGATACTATATTGTATTATTACTATGTAAACCATAAATCGCTAATTTAATTAAAGCTGAAATCAACATGCAATGATTTTTTCTATACAATATTTAACTTTTTGTTAACTTGGCTTCGGTTTTTCTTAAACACCTATTTTGTTAATCACATAGTGGGACACTTGAAGGAAAGCGTGCAAAACCAGAATATGATATGCTTCTATCAGATCCAATGCTCAAATTTTCTGGGCTTTATCAAGAAGGTTGCTCAGACTTGTATGTAACATGTCAAGTGCTATGTGATGGAGTACCTCTTGCATTGCCTGTCACAACATCATACAAGGCTTTTACAAATAGATGGAAGTAAGTCTTAAGATCTTCATAAGTATATAAGTTTCTGTCTATCGGTTTCTAAATTAGGTGCATATAAACTTACGACCTATGCTGATCAAGTGTTACTGATTACCAATTGTATACTATTGTTCATGGAAATGTTCAGGTACCAAATCACATCTTAATTATATTGTCATGATTGAGAAATATCTATCCTAATTTTTTATTTTTAATATTTAAGTTGAATAGATGAATACTAAAAATTGTGCTACTGCAAAATCAAAATTGATGAGTAAACTTTTTTTTCATTACTAAATTCTAAAATATTGGTTTTTTTATTGGCTTTTCCCTTTCTGCCTTAGATATATAAGTAATAGACTCTTCTACTCTTAGTTTTTACTAACTTTTCTTTACAGCTGGAATGAATGGGTGACTCTTCCAGTATACTACAGTGACCTACCACGGAATGCTATACTTGCAATGACCATCTATGACTGCGCTGGACCTGGGAAGGTAATGGTTGTGGGAGGTACAACCATCTCATTATTTGGGAAACATGGCATGCTACGACAGGTATGTTTCTAAAAACTCCATATTATGTTTAAATTTTAATTGAATTATCATTAAGCTGTTGTAATGCTTCAACAATACATGAAATGTTCAATTCTAAGATCAACTCAACTTATGTAAAATTTGTAACTGCATTGATAACTTTTAAAGTGTTGGCTTAATTAGTTTAGAACGAGAGAACTATAGTTCTCTTAACTGATAAATTTTTCATGTAAAGTTCAAGTAGTTAGTAGTAGTTTTGGTTTGTGACATTGATTGGGAAAAGCATAATAAATAGAATATAGAAGCATTAATAAATAAAATATTTTTGGCAGAAAGGATTCATGTATCAATGTACTAATTTGGTGTAGCCAAATCTTTGGGATAAGTCTCTTTCCAAGGTTCCCAGAAACGTTGTATTTTAAAACTAAAAGTTTTATTTTACGAAACTTTATCTCTGAATTACGTGTTGGATCATTTGCCCGTTATGGTTCTTTAGAAATCTTAATAAAACTTTTTTATTAGGTAAGGGTAATTGAAGGTTATAGTGATGTATTTATTTGAGGTTCTTCACGTTCCACCATATAAATTTCTAATTACGAGAAGTTAGTAGAGGGTTGTATATTATACGAAGACTGATCCATATTTTTAATATTGTTATATTGCCTGGTTATTAAGTGCATTTTAGAATACATGAGAATCCATAAATCACTACTAAATAAATAGAAGGCGCTATCACACTATAACACAATAGCTATCATTTTGCAAAAGATCATCATTTAAAAATCGATCGCTTTATCATTATGCAAACTAATTTCCAAACCAGTATTAAATTAAGTTTGCATTTATTAAGTTTATTAACGGGCGTCAGTATTTTTGTCGCCGCGATACGATGCACTCGACTGTGCTTAATCCTTAGAATGTTAAAAACTAAATATGGTTTTAGAAATATTTACATTGTAGATATAATTTGAAAGTGAGATAATAATTGTAATAATTAAAAATACTATTGCTTATTGTACAAAATTAGGGAATGTGTGGGTACACCAGTTTCCATTTTAGTTCAGTAACTCGTAAATAATATGGCCGAGGCTCTTTTGTTCCTTTGCAAAACTTGTAAATACGTACGTACGGTAGTCTTACGGGTTTTATTTATAAATTATAAAAGCATTTTTGGTCGCGTCTTTTCTTCTTCAAAGTGACACTAGAGTTATTTTGCTATTAACAGGCCACACGACGCGAAAACCTTTCTAAGAAACGTATCGATACTAATACGACTAAAGGCCTATCGATAATCGAAAGAATATAAAAAAGTTTATTCGTCTAAACAGTCACACCACTCGCTCTTCCACTTTGGCGAGAATTGCCTCGCAATGGAAAGTTTATTGTGTCCGTGTAAACAGTATTTCAAAAGCAATAATCGTATTTCGAGGTTTTGTGCCAGTTGCTACCATGAGTGCAGTGCTTGAGGGTGTTTTAATTATTAGTACAAGAATTAATTAAACGGCAATGGAAAAAAAGATTTTTTGTTAAAAAATGGGTTTTTATAATTTTCTTTTTCAGTGTTCCACAAACACTCGTAACTTCTATAACGTGTAAATAACTTAATATCATATATTGGCAGCCCCAAAATTAAAAGGATTTTGTGACAGTTTTGAGAACAATACCCTACTAAACTCGAATGAAACATCTCGCACTCAAAACGGTTCAAACCGATTGTACGATAATCGTATGAACATAAAAAAAATTCATTCGAGATCGTGTTTACACTAGTCGAGTTTCTCGTAAGTAAGAATCTTACTAAAATGTCGATGTGTAAACAGACGCAGGAAATTATCGTCTAGCGATAAATCACTTGCGAATCTCGTACGAAATAATCGTAGATGAGAATTTAGTTCTTGTCTATATGTAAACACTATTATTGATACGATAATGTTATTAGTGCTGGTGATAGTCGCCTACCATTATACGAGAAACTCTCCCCATCTAAATCCCTAAATATTATATATCTATATGACCTCGAGAAACCTAAAAACTACAAGTTAGATGTTCGACACCAATTTATAGTCTGATTCCTGAGAAAGGTTTAGGTGTATTATTTATTATGGTTTTATTATAGAACGTAAACGGTCTTGTCAAAATACATGAAATTCTCGCGGTTAAAGCTGCGGGTAGACTCTCGTTAATGCATATTAAAAAAGACCTAAAATTGCATCACGTAATAGATGATAGAATATGGCTTAACTGGTTTTTAGTGAGATGAAAATGTTAATTGTTATCTTTATTGTCTATCAATATCGTTTTTATATATATAATTTATGTTCGGATGATAAACTTACATTAGTAAGTAAACTTAAGTAAATTTTTTTGGACATTACAACTTACAGTTTACTTAACAGTTTTTCGTTACTTATTTTATTAGATTTTAAATTAATAAAAAATACTTTATATAATCGATATTAAATTACCTAGCTAACAGTTAACAGCAAATTATAGCAAGCTTTTTATGTTAATTTTGCACCAAAATATAATCGATCTAAAATATATTGACATAAAAATATAGACGTTATGAATTAAAATTTGAGGGAAAATGTCAATTATTTATGGATAATGTCTGAAAATTTTCCTTCTGTAGCAACATTTATGATACAAAGGTTTAATATAAAGATAAGGCCACGCCCATAATAATTGCTTTAGCCTGACCTCCCTTATCATTAGCTCTCGGTCAGTTCTTCACTTGCGTTCAAAGAGACCGTTAAATGTATGGAAAAAACAAAAAGTGTTTTAAGCACAATATTAAGATACCTTTATTCTAGATTAAAAATGAAACTGTAATTTAGTGAAGATGGGTAACGCTGGTAGTACTTTAAAAGTGTGCAAAAGATGTTATTTACAACTCGTGAGATGGCTAAGCGTGTGGAGGTCTATTTCAAAGGGTATGTTTGATCTTCGTGTGTGGCCTGGGATGGAAGGAAGTGAAAAAACCCCAGGAAAAGCACCGGATAGGGGCAAGGAGCAGATGCAGCGATTGGCAAAGTTGGCCAAAAAACATCGCAATGGGCATATACCTAAGGTCAGTGTTCTAAAATATGATTTTTTATAATAAGAATGAAAAGAAGCATATCCTTGAAGTATCAAAATTCTCAACGTATACAAAGTCGATTTAATATCCAATTTTGTGGCAAATTCGGGTTGTATTTAAAATTTACAACTATTACATCACAGGTTGCTTTAGCCCATATAAGCCTTTAGCTCAAACTCATTACTCAGCCCTCAAGCTCCTATATTTATTCTATGATGTGATTTGTTCCCAAATTATACAAAATGTTTGACCATGTATCTAGCAGCTGTCATCGTATCCTCAAAGTTAGGAGAGAGTATGTCGCTTGCACATTCACGTCGAGTGATTTCTAAAGTAATAGGAGTTCGAGAAAGTATTCATGATTCTGATATCTTCGTAGTTTCTTTTCCTCTAACTGAAGTATATTATTTAACAGTTTATTATTCTTAGAAATATTTGAAGCTATCCATACCTAAATTTTTATCTTGTAGTTCAATAAAGAAAACTATAAAATGGTAGGAGAGATATAAATAAATATCATGAAACCAAATGGGTTACTTTAGTATGAATTAGATAGAGAATGGTGTTGGTGAGAAGGGTGGGCACAGCCCGTGCCTGATGTTTATGAGAGACTGAGACATTCAATATGATAATAATAAAAGTAATCAATTCTCTTTTATAAAAAAAATTAAAACACGACGCAAAAAATGCGTGTCGGAACGGGTTCTTACAACTCGATAAAAATTCAAGTTCGCGCGGTTATAAAATATCTCGGCTGGAAAACTTTGACTAAGGAGTTTGTAAATCAAGACTTAAGAGCAACATTAAAAGTTAATTCTCCTTTATATTCTACGGTTGCGTGTTGGTGTGCTGAGTTCATAGACCAGGGCCGAAGCCTTTAAAAATGGTAAAAAATGAAAAAAAATTACAGTAGGATGAAACCCATTAGAAAAGGAGGGGAATATGATCAAAATGAAAGGAAAAATAAATTACAGACGATCCGAGTTCGGGAAGTGGGAGGGGGGTGAGTTTTTAAGGGTAAAAAATAGTTTATCTTGATTTTCGGCAAAACTACAAGTCCTATGGAAAAAAGTTAAATGGGAAGGGGATGATGGGTCTGGGCGTTACTGCATACGATTTTTTGCATTTTCTGAGAAGATTTACTATGGTAATATATATATTTTTTTCACCATAGGAAAGTCCCACCCCCTCCCACTTCCCGAACTCGGATCGTCTGTAATTTATTTTTCGTTTCATTTTGATCATATTCCCCTCCTTTTCTAATGGGTTTCATCCTACTGTAATTTTTTTTGGTTTCAAAAATTATCGGCCCTGGTCTATCAAGCGAAGACCCCGAATGCGGCGCCCTAAACCGGTAGTGACTGAATGAATGATTAGAAAAGTTCAAACAACTGTCTTGGATTGTCCTGTTACTATTTGTTTTATACAAAAAAAAATTAAAAATATAGGAACTGTCCATAATATTATACACAACCATTTCGGTATGTAAAAAGTGTCAGTGCGTTGGGTTCCCAGAATGATTTCTGTCGAGAAACAACCGAGATAGAATTTCACAAAGCTGTTTGTGTTTTTTACAACAAGATTTAGACTTGAATTTATAACTATAGACGAAACATGGCTTCACCAATATTACCCGCAGGGGCGGATCTGATTACGGTCTTCTTGGGCTGCAGCCCAGAGCCCCGGGGATACAAAGGGCCCCCAGTCCCATTATTATCAAACGGAACGGGGAGTTCCCCGTCGCTAGTTCCCGGTCGGTAACAAACTCACGATCCGCCCATGATTACCCGGAAACAAAAAAACAGTCTTGGAAGAGTCACCTCCAAGTCCGAAGAAATTAGCTAAAGTTGTTTTGTTTCAAAAATATCTTCAAGAACATCTTCCATATTGTAAATAAATATTCACCGAGCCTAGCTCCTAATGATTTACCTATTTCCGCAGTTTAAGAAAGACGAAAGGAAGTTTATGACACAGTAGTGGTGGAATTTTTGTTAAAAAAAAGGTATACAAAGTGTATAAACCTGAAAGATGACGAATAAAAATAAAATAACACTTAAAGATAATTGCGTCTTACACATTATTGGACATGCATTCACTTTTAATTGAACAGCTCTAAGACAAAAAAGCCTTTAATGTTTTATAAAATAAATATCTTTAAAAAAAATTAACGATGTGCGCTAGTGTGTAGGAATTCATTATATAAACTGTCATATTATGATGAATTCCAGTCGTCTAACTGCTTTATTGTATTAAATTAGTACAGATTCCTAGGATATCTTTAAGGCATCATTAAAATCCTTTCAGAACAATTTTGTTTGAAAAATTCTTACTTAAATTACGATCCTACTAAGATCTATAACGCAGTCGCACATTCCCGAATGTATATAGGAAGTGGTTACGGTACATATATATGTAGAATATTCTAGAATATTCTAGGGGGCCACACGGGTCGCTTATGCAATGTTTATAAACATAAGGTCATCAAAATAAAACGAGTTTCCGTGATGTCACACGTGAATGTTGTGAAACGCATTTCTGTTAAATATCTTAATTGTATTTCTTTGGTTAAATTAAAATTATATGTATTGTATAAACGGTAATTTATATGTGTTTTAAATCTATTCTGTCGGCCTATACAACAATCATATAAAAAAGTTGGAGGACCCCGTCAGTCGTAGAAAAGTAAATTGTATATATATATTTTATCATTTCATTCGTAAACTCGTGCGATTAAATATATTTAGCATAATTGTCCTAAATGTTACATTAGTAGCTTTAAAGTATAATTTGCATTTACAATTTTCTTAACCTACAAAGTAATTATAAAAATAATTAATAATTATAAAAAAAAAATGAAAAAGTTTGGTTCCTGTGGTAGTGTACCTTTAAGGCTGGCAGCATTTCCTCGCTGTACTGCGATACTTGTTTATTTTTTATAGTATATGAAAATAACATGTGAATATATAAAGGCTTATTATTTTTATACCAGAAACAATTAACCTATATATTTGAAAGTGTTAAGTAAAAGTTGTTTGTTATTAAATTCTAGAAAATTCTCAATTTAACTTGTTAATTGTAAGCTAGCTAAAACCACTTTAATGGCGTTAAATAATGCATAAGAGATATTAATAACTGCATAAATTAAAGTGTCTTACAATACCAATAATACACTAAAGAATATTGCTAAACAAATAGTTATATAACTCGTGTATGTTACAGGTGGACTGGCTCGACCGGCTAACCTTCAGGGAGATTGAAATGATAAATGAGAAGGAGAAAAGGAATTCTAATTATATGTACCTCATGATTGAATTTCCCACCATTCAGATAGATGGCGTCGATGTAAGTAATCTAAATCTTAATTTAGATGTATCTATAAAAAAAATTGTTGCGTGAGCTTGTCTACCTAATGAGCAGTGTTGGCGTGCGACTCTCATCCCTGAGATCAGAGGTCCTAACCTCGGCTGAGCACCAATTGATATGCGCATTTAACAATCATATGGTGAAGGAAAACATCGTGAACTGTAGTAGACCTTAGACCTAAAAATCCAATAGAGTGTGCAAGGCGCAGAAGGCTGATTAGTTTATTAGAAAAAAACAAATAATCACGAAACAGATATAGAAATGGTTGTGGCGCCTGTTCGTATGCTCTTAAAAATTTATTATTCATAAAGGTGAAAATGAGAATTTAAATTTAATCGCTAGATCACAATCACAGACACGCGACAAGATCTGTCTTTAACAATCGCTACGGAACGAAACGCGCCATCGTTTCGACTTGTCGTGGGCGTAAATATATAATGCATTAAAAATAATATTCTAATATTGTATGAATTTTATTACGAAGAATTTAAATAATCTTTATTTATTCAAGGGTTAATGACACACTAATATGTTTGTATGTTTAGACTTGTTATCAGGTAAAGAAAGGGCTTTAATAACTGGTTTATTTTAATTTCCGTCAATAAAATGTATAAAAATGTCGTTACATAAACAAAGATAATGCATTTTTGAATTAAAAGTTGTAATAACGAAATCCTTTAAATTAAAAAAAAATTATTGGAGAAGTAATAATATTGGCAAGTTTGATAAATTAGCATTAGTGATAAGTTTTTTAATACAAGAGACAATACTAGAGGGAGAATGTTAAACGAAGACTAGACAATACTATGGCGCTCTACTTTTGTCATTGGTCAATCGGATAGATGGATCGAAAAGCGTCTGCGATTGAACCGGAAATGCTTTTAAATAAAGCGAACGATGACGCGTTTCCTTTGATTGTGATTATCCATACTCTTTTGTTTCACATTCTTTAGATCTTTTCATCGTCACTCAAACATTTTTAAAACAAAACCAACTTCTCTGTCTGAATATTATAAACCTTTTTAATCTAAATAAGCCTAGGAATTAAAAACATTAACTTCACAAAACTTTAACGGCTTCCATATTTAGAACAAGCAAATGCAAAAAAAGGTTATTTTCTCTTAAGTAAAACCTTTTTTTTTAAACAACGTAGTACTGTTGTTTTTTTTATAGCATGCAGTTGTTTACTACGAGCAAGATGGCGACGACATGTACCAGTTCCGTGCACAGGCAGAAGTCGTTACCGTGCCTGATTACGAAATATTACAGGTATACATTTATATTGAGAACATAGCTTTGTGTATTCTATAGACACAAACTCGATTTTATGATAGAAGCAGTCGAATAAAATCATAGACAATTCATGTCTCATAGATCGATGGAATCGGAGTATCGAAGGATCAGCGGTAGACAATAGCAATACGTGCCGACCTACAATTACTGCCAAGTTCTTTATTAAAAAAAATGTATTTGTTAAATGTTATTTTTTATAAATTACTAGCTGACCCGGCAAACATTGTTTGGGCATGTACCTATATTATTTCTAGGAAACATTTTTAGTTTAATAAAAAAAACTTTCTATTATTATAAAAAATAGGGGTTAATCGTAAAGGGTTGAACATTTAGGGTTGTGTGTATTTTTTAATGACACATATAAAAAAAATTAAAATTAAAATTTAGTTCAAAAAAATAAAAAAATTATGTTAGGGGTGGAAAACCCTTATCACTTAGGGATATGAAAAATGGAGATAGTAGCCGATTCTCAGACCTACTGAATATGCATATAAAATTTGATAAAAATCGGTTGAGCCGTTTCGGAGGAGTATGGTAACTAACATTGTGGCACGAGAATTTTATATATAAGATAATGGGATTCGTTGTAAAGCCAATTTTTATGTGCACACGTATAACCACGTTAGGAAATAGAGCAATGAGGCCGTCATTTTTCTTCATAGGAAAACTTGGTAGAAAGCAAGCAGCATCGCCTGGCTCGTTCAGTGCGTGGTGTAGCACCAGCAAGGGACGCGAAGCCCTCAGCGGCGGAACGGGATCGCCTCGCTGCCATACTTAGTGCACCCGCCGCACCCTTGTCCGCGGATGAGCAGGACCTTATATGGAAATATCGGTACATAATTTATTTACTGCATAAAAGTATGACAAGTTTATAAAAAAAATGTTTCCTATTTATAAGCAATCAAAAAATATATTTATTAGTAAACAAACTTATTTTAAAACCAGTTTATTAAAATTATGATAATTGCTACACGTAGATATTTTATAGAGCGGATTCTACAAAACGGCTCGTATTAATTACTATTTGTATATTGGATATAGAACTGATTTCAAATGAAATGATAATGGATTTTATATGGTTGGGTTAAATTCATAGTCGAGATTTAGCGCGAATTATGACTCTCGTACGTCATAATTTATAGATTTTGACATAAGGATATCATAGACATAAACACCGAATAGATAAGTATGGTAAAGTGTGTGTTTATGCAAAATTTATATTAAGTGAGAGTCGAGTGACAAAGGCTTTCGACCACGTCATTTCAAATGTCAATTCCGTGGCCTCATGCTAAGAGTATCACACTTTTAAAAGGTTTAATTTACTTATCTAAAAATGCCTTTGATTGTGATTAAACGTCGATTTAAACCATCTTCAACGCATGGTCCACCGTTTATGGAGATTAGACGACACACAGAGAATATAATGACGACACACAGAGAATATAATAAATGAAGATGAAATTAGTGCTATCTCTATTTGTTTTTCTGCTATTTACTCTGAAATGTATTCACTTTCAGATTCTACTTGTCATCACATAGAAGAGCGTTAACAAAATTCTTAGAATGCGTCAATTGGAACCGACCAGGTACAAATTTTAATGTTTTTTAAATAAAATTCTACGAATCTATTAAAATTCGAATAGCTAATTTAAATTGTTTAAATACTCTTGTATAATTATAAATTATCTAATAAGGTTTACATTCTCGTAGTTAGATTGATATAGGTTCCCGTACGGACTGTATGGAAAAACTGTGTGTATCAATTATAGCTAGGATTTTAATCATGATCTAATTTCAAAACATTCCTTTCATGGAACTGATATTTAAAATTTGTGTTTTTCTTTTAAATATTCCTTATTTTAAAAATCGAATAAAATGACTAAAAGTTAAATTGATTTTTCAAATTTAGAATTTCAGTTTTTTTTATGGCTCTGGCACGGTTTGTGCATTAGCCAGCGTCAAGTATAAGATTTTTATAATTCGTGCTTTGCCTTAGAAATTCGACCGTGTCCTCCATGTACGGTTTAAGCACTCGCCCGGTACCGCACAACCCTCCCAAAGGCCGAGAACAAATTTAAATTAAATTAAAACTTGCCCTCGAACCGGGACTCGAACCCGGTACCCCTCATCTAGCTGTCACTTAATAAGACCGCTAGGCTATGAGGCCCCCCATTTCAGTTAAAAACCTCAAAAAGATTTCAGAACGTTTTATTTTTAATTTGAAGCGGCCAGCATGGTAAAGCGTTAATTGTCTATGTCTAATCGCTATAACTATTAAGCAATAGATTTTAATTTATTGTGTATTTATTTGGACTGGTATTTCAGGCGAGGTCCGCCAAGCATTATCTATGATGAAGCAATGGGCACCGATGGACGTGGAAGATGCCCTTGAACTGCTAACTCCAAAGTTTTCTCACCCCGCTGTTAGGAAGTAAGTAATATATGAATTTTAAATAACATGATCGGTTTTTGCATTACAATTCATTTTAACTATGAAATTTAATTAAATACGTAATACTATTTCCTCATTATAAAACAAATTGCTTAAAGAATATATATATATATGACGCGTCAACGTGGTATATTGTTTAGTTATGTTTTAATTACGCTCGTGATTTGCGCATACATATTATGTCTTAATTAACTTTGAAATTTTTTTGCATGTGCTATAATTGCTTTTATTTAAGAAAATGGCTTAAAGACAGACTTTGGCGTAGGTACGACTGATAACGTAGTTAAATTTTTGCTCAGAATTTTTATTTCTATACTAAGCTGACGCTTATCACAAGTGCTTATTTAAACTCACAAGGCCAAGAATTTTTAACTATTATCTGATAATGATATACTTAAACATGGCTGCCATTAGTACAATTGTATTACCCACATTTTAATTTTATCAAATACCCGCAAAAATAAAATAATTTTATGGAATTTATTTAAATTTTTAGGTACGCGATATCAAGACTAAAACAAGCGCCCGATGAAGATTTGCTACTGTACTTATTGCAACTAGTACAAGCTCTGAAGTATGAAGACTTCCTAGAAATACATGAAGGTAAGTTAACATTAATAGATATTGATTATCAATACGTTTGAACAATTATACTTATTATACTGATTATATGAATCGATAGTAGAAAATTAAGCTTAATTTATGTAATATAATAAACTACCTTCGTTTTTAGGTTTTATTAAACTACCTTATGATATTGTGAAATACTTTTTTGAGACATGCGTGATTGCATCAAGTGGGATGCATCTGTCTATTTATTTTAAAAGGAAAACAAACTCAATTTAAACCTTTTTACAATTTGTATGTCCGCAAAGCAGTAGGTGTTAGAAAATATTTTTTAATAAAATAGTTATATTTATATATACGAAAAGTAGCTTACATCCAAAGGAAGTATAAATGTTGTAATCGTAGAAACTATATGTATTTTTATGTCATGATACCTTATTATTTATAAATACGTAATTAGTTTCATACTGTGTACTTTATTTTTGGTCGTTCCCGCGACTTGACCTGTCTATAACAAAATGTAGCAAATGTCCGTTCCACGGCTCCATCCCTGTACGAATTAATTTGAACAATGAGTCATGCCAATGGTTTTTTCAAAAAAGTTAAAAACAGATATTTCGTTCCTATCTTAAGAAATTACAGATATTAAAGTACGGCCTCCGGCAAACGTGTGACGTCACGCTTCGAGTCGACGCTCGCGTAAATGATTCGAAGCAAAGCAAACTTAAAAAAGCAGTTACTCTTTAGAACTTTGAAATTATGACCCGATTTCGATGAAAGTTAAAAAACCTTTTAGATCCGGGCCTCAGATAACTGTATCTTCGTGATTATTTTTAATGTGAAAGTAGATAGTCAGCCTTCTGTGCCTGAAACACGCCGTCGACTTTTTGGGTCTAAGGCATGCCGGTTTACTCCGAGCGAGTGTTTAATGCGCACTTAGAACGTCCATTGCGTACACGTCGTGCGACTCTCCCTGAGGATCGCACGCTGAAGCCACTAAACCAATTCTGCTCTATGAAATATATAACTATTTTCGCGAACTCTATTACTTTTATAAAAACATTTTATTGGTGTGACTCATTAAACCTTAAAGGTTTTGCAATAAGCCTTTATAACTGTTTTCTACAATGTATATCAATAATATTTAGTATTATCTATTATTATATATATGTATGTGTTCAGAATACGTCCGTGTATGTGGCAAGGATGTTGCGATGTACTCGGATGGGGAAGGAAAGCCACAACAACGGGCTAGTCAAACTACTTTGCTCTCTGCCTCGGGTAAGGCTTATATATTTGTTTTAAACAAAAACGACTGGAACTTGAGATAAAATCTTATTATTAAGATACCAATAATCTAGAAGATAAATATAAAATTGCCAAGTTTAATCGTACATAATATAAAATGTGCTAGTAGCTTTGAATTTAATATTTATGTACCTGATGACCACAAGTATCACTTAACAATGTTAAAGTATGAACTAAACACTTTCAATACGTCATATTGAATATATTTTGATTTATTGTACCGATTCATAAAATGCTGTCAACATTTTACACTCGCGTTCCGTAGTGTGCGTGTCTATGCGCAGCAGTACCACCTAACATCAGATGAGCCTCCTAAGTTTACTTTTTAATATGAACATATCAACGCTCTTGAAATAGCTAATGTGTTGTACTATTCTCTATGAAATCACCTATTGTACTGTAATACCATCCGAGTTACTTAAACATTTGTATCAAAAAAATATAGACAGAGGCTTAGAGATGACACAGCTTTTCTACATGACGTAAATTGAACTAGAATGAAATAAATTTATTAACAGGCTAATAAATTGCCTACATTATTATGACAGCGAATTCAAAGCTATAAGCCAGCTTCATAAAGGTCATCAATTCACACTTTTACGCTAATTGCTACTATTATCATAATAATATTAAGTATCACCACTCCTCGTAAATATATTTTCTCTGTATAAAGACCTATATTGCCTTCAGTTGAAAAAGCCTACGAAACAGTTTTTAACCATAGCACATAAATTAATATTATAATAAACTTGTTGTAGATGTGCGCTGTAACTTCCAGTAGCGATACAAATTCCGAGAATTGTCTATGCAATATTGATGTAGTTCTTACAATATCCGTAGCGCTGATGTCGTCACAAAAAACTCAACATTAATGTCGATTGAAGTCCCCTATTGGAAGCTACAGAGTGCTTGCGCAGTATTTGAAATATCGCTTATAAGTCGAGTTACACTCATAATTTTTTAACCTCATTATGCAATCATTTCTGAAGTACAGAAGATACATTCGTCATACGAAAACTTATTTCGTTCTGAAACTGATTATATATAAACACGATATGTACACTTTATAACTTATTTGCATATTTATTGGTAATACAAAATCCTATAGTCGCATAATCTTGGTGTATGTGTATGAATGCATTTTCGGTACATGTTGTACTTATTTTGTATATTTATGCAAGTCAGGTTATCTGCCTGTTTGAATGGCCTACAGAATGTATAGATTTGACTAGTGCTCGTTCGTTTCTTTCTAATAAATTATCTTTATACTGTGATGGAAAGAGACATCAGTAGATTATTAAAATTTATGTAATAGGACTGATTTAGTTTTTATTAAGATTTTAGGGCACAATACTGATTTGCCTGTCAATACGGGACTTCCGATACTAATTAGAGTATTTTGATCTAATCGTGTGTATAACAGTAGGTGTGTCTGCTGAGATGTCAACATCGATGACGAGCAGAAATTCAGAGGGCGCTGACGAAAGCGTGATTTCAGAGACAGGCACTTCGGAGACACTCGACAATAATACAGACTTTAAGTAAGAATATGTTTTGCTTATTTATAGATAGTAGCTTGAGCCTATGACTCTTAAACCTCTACGACAGTGTCTGTGACGAACATACTTTTCTTTCTACGTACGCATTTAACACTAGCTTGTAGGGCAACATAAATATATCTTGAGGAAACTGGTTTGTCTTAGATCGACGGCGTATGTCAGGCACAGAAGGCTAATATTAAGAAAAACAGTGACCAAGAAACAGATACAGAAATCTGAGCCCGAGAGCATGGGTCACGTTACGGGATATTTTTTTTATATTTATACTAACCCGGCAAAAGTTGTTTTGCCATGTATGTTATTTCTAGAATTTTTTTAGTTCAATAAAAATACCTAACTACTATAATAAAAAATAGGGGTTGATCGTAGACGGGTGAAAATTAAGGGTATCGTAAAAAAATAAAAACAAAAAAATTGCCTAAAAAAAATGGTGCGTGTACTTATTTACGCGCGTAAGAAGTTATACTTCTTTGGCTTTCTTTATTTTTTTTAAATATTAAATAATTAATAATAAATATTTAGCGTTAATAATTTAACAATATTTAGTATATTATTCAATTATTAATTAATATTAATAATAATTATTATTTATTATTTTATTATATTATTAATTCAATTTAATAACTAGGTATGTTTCATAAGATTTTAACTAAGTAACAATAGGTCTTTGCGAAAAAGCATTGCTAAATTTCTTTGAAAAAATAATTAAAACTCCTTTATTTGTTTAAAAGGTACTACAAATGTCATTATGGTCATTCAAAATTCTTGGCATAGCTAACGTCACGCATATTCAATTTTTATTTTTACTTGTAGATTGTCTTATTCCCATCTCGCTCGCGCACGCTCGGCGCCCATACTAATAATTTTGTGTCACGGTGCTCGCGCATCGTAAAATTTCACTCTCATAAATTTTTCATAACGCACCTAAAGAAGTATAACTTCAAAAATAACAACATTTTTGGGGTGGACACCCCTTATCAATTAGGGGTTTGAAAGATAGATAGTAGCCGATTCTCAGACTTACTCAAGATGCATAAAAAAATTCATAAGAATCTGTAGAGCCGTTTCGGAGAAGTATGGGAACGAACATTGTGACACGAGAATTTTATATATTAGAGATATATCTCTTACAATCAGACAGTTTTGTCTTTATAAATTCGATCCAGGAAAATAATGATATACATGTTGACTTGTTAGAGTGCTTCATTTTCATTGGAAGCAATTTAAATAGCTCTTTGTTTCCAGTGAAAACCCGGAACCAGAAGAACAAAGTCTTGCCAGTTTTCTGATCAGTCGTGCCTGTAACAACCTGGTGCTAGCCAATTACCTCTACTGGTATTTGCTGATTGAGTGCTCGGATACTGATTCAGGCCCACGTGATATGCCAACAAGGGGGATGTATCTTGCTGTTATGAGGAGCTTCTCACAACAACTTGCTAAAGGTATGCTAACATTTCTGGATATTTAATTTCACTTTAGTTTAACTCGGAAATTCCTGAGTAATTGTACAATATCTGTACGGTTGGAAGGTACAAAGCCCAGATCAGGAGTAGGAAGAAATAACATAGAATTTTAATAATTGAAGCTTATATGAAATATTTTCGATTTTAAGAATGTAAAATGTGTCCTATATATAAAAAAAGGGTGCGTGTACTTATGTACGCGCGTAAGAAGTTATACTTCTTTGGCATTATTAGTAATAGTTTTTGATTGCATGCAAATAATTAATTACAATTAAATAATCAAAGACTGGAAAAGGAGTCATTATAGTCAATAAAGTTCAGTTCACATTTGAAAAATTAAATAAATAAATATTTATTATTATTCTTTCATTAAGTGTAACATAAATTCTATTATTATTCGAATGTTGTTTTTAAATTATGTCCAATGCCGTAGCATCTTCCGTGGGAACTTCATTCTGTTAATTTTGTGTCACGGTGCGCGCGCATCGTTAAATTTCACTCTCATCAATTTTTCATAACGCGCCTAAAGAAGTATAACTTCAAAAATAAGAATTTTAAAGCTATAGATAATGTTATATTCCATGTTTATATTTATTTTAATAAAAATATTTATAAAATAATATATTCTTTAAACAGTTATTTTAATTAAGATTTAGGACTCCCACACAAAACTGCGATGCGATGCGATGCGAATTTCTGCGATACGATTTAGTGCGACAAACCTTTTGGTAGGGCGACCATTCCTACGTTGTCAGCAGTACTGGACGCGTAAGATGGATCGCAAAAAGATAATTGCACTGCTGTTATTGTTAAATAGATATTAAAGAAAAAGAAGATTCTGGGTTCATCCATTTATTACGATTATGAACTCTAATGCAAACTTTCACAGATGCTCTTCCACGCATCTTGCTTAATAAATTTATTTTTATAATGTTCATCACTTGTGTCCCAAAGGACGGGACGCTCCTCAATTAAAAAATCCATATCATATTCCGCATTTTTTTAAAAACAAAGAAGGCGGCGGAGGCGCCGCGCGTCTTTCTCTAAAGCTGTCGCAGAGCGGACTAAAAGGGCGTCACCAAGAATGACGTAATATCGCAAGAATGTGTGATGCGAAGCAGATCGGAACTTCTTGCGGTGCGTTCGTGCGAATTCGCAGATATTTGCGATGCGATGCGAATTCGCAGTTTTGTGTGGGAGCCCTTAGCTATGTACTATTTTATTTATAGTTGCATTTATAGGGCAGACTTAACCTGACGAACATACATTTACGTAATTCTTTTAAAAATAAGCATGGTCTATACTTAATTATAAATTAAAAAAATATTTATCTTTATACACAGGTAACACAGATTACCAGCGCATACGAAATTTCCTCGCACGACAGCAAGTGTTCATAGATAAGCTCGTAAAGTTAGTAAAAAGTGTGGCCAGAGAAAGTGGCAACCGGAATCGAAAAGCTGAACGATTGCAACACTTGCTCGCTGACCCGGATGCGTTCAAGTTTAATTTTGCTAACTTTGAACCGATGCCGTTCCCACTGGATCCCACTGTTACAATAAAGGTAAAAAATATGCTACACTGATTGATGTTAACAAAGGGTCAAAATTAAGATATAAATAACCGGATATCGTAGGTTCGGTGGCGTCGTTCTTTTAGCCAATGGCCGAGCTCGAAACCAATGCAATGTTCTTTAGAGTTTAGACGATACAAAATATTTTAGTAAAGCGAAAACACGTATATTAATTATATTTTTTACTCAAATTTAATTAAATAAATTTTTAAGGGTATAGTAGCCAAAAAGGCTAGCCTGTTCAAATCGGCTCTAATGCCGTGTAAGCTAACTTTTTTAACGTCAGAAGGAAGCGAGTACGAAGCCATCTTCAAACACGGAGATGATTTACGTCAAGACCAACTTATTCTTCAGATGATTACCCTAATGGATAAATTGCTTAGGAGGTAAGAACTAAGGAACTTTTTAATCTCTATCACACATTACGGCGTTCTAGAACGTTCTGACTGGCTTCGAGAAGGATCTTTTCTCTCTCATGCGCATCATTCCTTCCTTATCCTAGACCAGATAACTCTAGAATGTTATTTTACTAAAGCGGTATAACCCGTCCTGGAAACGCCTAAAAAGGTGTTTATAAATAATGATCGTATGTCTACTAACTTCTAATTTTCTAGTAAGTGATAGAGCCTCTCTTGAAATGGTCATAAACCATAACACCTTCCTGAAAACGTCACTATGTTAAGATAGACCTTTTTAAAATCATTCAACTGGTTTTCGTACAACTATGTTGTATTTAATATTCAACTACCGTCATTAAGTAATAAAATATAAAACATACACAGACACACACCCACACACATACACATAATTTACACATAAACACATACCCCATCTGGTTTCCTCTATATACTATATATTGTAATGTATTGTATTGTATCTTCTGTCAATCCGAAGTAGTGGAGGCCTGATGACCTGACCACAGGTACTCTTACCTTTATCAGGCATCAGTCTCACACAGACTTGCTTTTTCCATTAACAGAAGTGAGAATATAACTATCACTTGCCTATGTTCTAAATTTAAGTTTTTGTGAGAAAATAAATAAATAAATAAATTGACATATTTAAATGGTTCGCAAAGAGATGTTTATGTTAAAGATTGTTTGTTATTTCATCCAATCTATTTACACATTTATTAAAAATTCTTACACTTGATTCGATAATTTCCATATATTATGAAATTTTTGTCGTAGTAAATAATTTATGAATATTCTTTTAGAGAGAATCTAGACCTAAAACTTACACCATACAAAGTATTAGCAACAAGTTCGAAGCACGGATTCCTACAATTCATTGAATCTGTGACGGTAGCTGAAGCTCTCGCTAGTGAGGGTAGTATACAAAACTTTTTCCGCAAACACAATCCCTGCGAAGGCGCTCAGTATGGCATCAGACCTGACACGATGGACACGTATATACGGAGTTGCGCGGGTTATTGTGTTATTACGTATCTGTTGGGTAAGTTTATATATAGTATGATTTCTATGCCGTTTTAACGGCTTAGCTTAGAAGCCTCAAAACCAAATGCTTCTTGAGTTATTCTTAAATGAAAATAAACCTATTGTAATGCAATTTTTGGTAGAAATTAGATTAAATAAGATGTCGATAGTTTGGATTCATCGAAAGAACTGGCAATTTTTTTTAATTTTGGTATTTTTTCCTCTAGCTTATTTTTGTTTCAGGTGTTGGTGATCGTCATCTAGATAACTTACTCCTTACAAAATCGGGGGCTCTCTTCCATATAGACTTTGGTTATATTCTCGGTCGGGATCCAAAGCCGCTACCCCCACCTATGAAACTTAGTAAAGAAATGGTTGAAGCTATGGGTGGTGTCCATTCCGAACATTACCATGAGTTCCGAAAACAATGTTATACAGCGTTTTTACATTTGCGCAGGTAGGCGTTGCTAATGTGTCGTGTTTTTGTGGGATACAAATAAAATATAATTATCACTATACTAGCTTTTACCTTCCACGCTTCGCTGTGGCACATTGTGATTGAATGGTTGAGAAATGAGAAACCAAACAAAGAAAACATTTAATATAAGTTTAATTTTGCAATACCTGTGGAAAAAAGGAATAAAAAAATAATAAAAACCATCCTTGATGCGGGTTATATATCATGCTAAAATTTCAGCTTGATCGGTGCTGAACTTTTTGAAGCTTAAAGTACACAAACCAATATAACATTTATATATCTTAATATATATATTTCTTGCGTGCGTGTGTATGTGACTGAACTCCTCCTAAACCCGACTGGACCAATTTTGATGAAATTTTTGTGTGTGTTCGTGGAGATTCGAGAATGGTTTAGATTCACAAATCAGCCCGGCACATGGCATAACATATATATATAGATATATGTAACACAATCCATTGTAGTATAGTATTAATAAAATGTCCCCGTAATATAAATTAATAAAAAAACGTTCTAATTTTACATGTAGATAAATAAGTAATAATTTCTTTTTCAGACACGCAAACCTGATGCTCAATCTATTCTCGCTTATGGTGGATGCGTCAGTGCCGGATATCGCGCTTGAGCCTGACAAAGCTGTCAAGAAAGTGCAGGATAAGCTACGGCAAGTATTCTCTAATAATAATAACCTTTTTAGAAATACCAGTCTGTTTTCATGATGAGGAATTCGGTGAGACGGCAAAGAATGAAAATAAAATGCCTCGTCAAATTTTTTTTATTAACTTCCATATTTTATTCCTTTTATAAAATCTAACCAGATAAAATATTCAAGGGAGCTGAAAACTCTCTCGTGGCTCAATCTTTACTAAAATTAATTAATCATCTTTCCGACATCAATGAATTCATATTCAAATCAATATATAATTTATTGAACTGAATATTAATACAACACTTATGAACGTCAAAAAAATATGCTTCTTAATCTACATTTACTGCCAGTTCTCAATTCAAGGGCGTAGAACGGGCAAGAAGAACTGGCTCTCTGTCTATCTCCGAAACACTCCGTTAGTTCTTGAAATCGCCCAGGCTTCGTTTTAAAGTGAATACCATCAAATTTTATTTTAAAGAGTAATAAAAAAAAGGCTGATCGTTTTAAGTTGTCAAGACTTCGCACTAAGTTTGCTTTCTGTATCTGAAATGCAATACGTTTTTGTGTTATACATATTATATACAGACTAGAATATTTGCTCTTTGGTTAAGTCAATTTATTCAATTTTACATAAAGTACATCTTAATTACAGAGTAAACTCTCTATAACGCAAAAATTAATTAAATTACTTGGTTTAAGTTTTAACCCAATACCCATACATTAATTCTTCACGCACTATAACGAAACCTCTCTATAACGAATAAAAAAAGGCCGGGCCCTTGAAGTTCGTTATAAAGACTTTACACTGTATATCATTAATAATTTAAGGGATATAAAAAATATACAATTTCTGTAATATATTTTGTATATTTCAGGTTGGATCTGGGCGACGAGGAAGCCGTACATTATCTTCAGAACTTATTGGACATGTCTGTTACAGCTGTAATGGCGGCTTTAGTCGAACACTTCCACAAGTTTGCGCAATATTGGCGCAAATAGATTTCATTCATTTTAAGAAATAGTACGACTGATTGATTACTTAACACAATAATGCTTTACAATAACTACAATCTCAAATTACGTATTAAAAAAATGAAAAGCTTGCCTGAATTGCTGGTTCGAAATTAATGGATGATCAAGGAAAGGCTAATTTAACTATGGTCTATTCAATGCTTTGTCAAAAAACAATTTATTTAGAAATACTTAAAAAGCAAACAATAATCAAATACAAATAATAAAAGCATATACTTATAAATCTTAATGTTTTAGTTATTACCTCTGGGAGTTGGTTCTATTTCTTGAGCTTTCAAGTTATAGTTAGGAAACATTGGAAAAAGTGTTGTTGATAAATGTTATGGCGTGTCCTGTTTTTTTGTATTTATTATAAAAACCAATAAACAAATACCAGCTGGTATTTTTCCTTATTGTGGATATAGTTGTCCTAAGTCTGGATTTTTATTGATTATACTGCTCTTTATGTATTATAATGATATAGTTCACATTGATAATTTGGAACAGTGTTGTAGTACTCTAAATTTCAGCACTCTTTGTCATTAAGCAAAAAATATTTTTATAATAAATGTGAGTAATAAATATTTTTAAATATACCATAATAATATAAGATAATTTTCTACTGTGATAATGGAAATATATATTTTCAAATAATTATAAATTTGTTCTTTTTTCTATATTTATCATCTAAATTTTAACTGATTCATTGCTTATACATTTGCAGCCATAACATCACTGCCACTAGATACACAATCGCTGGCAATGAATATCTTACTGTTTGTAATAGTTTGAACCACCTCACAAGCAGCAATTTCCGCATATGTTACTCCACCAATAATATACACCAATACTGTTCTTGGCTTTATATTAATTCCTCCATTCATTTTACTGTCACTTTTTAATATTTTCAAAATTGTCTTTGCATCTTTACAACTGAGTTCCAAATTATTTAATGACAAATTTGATAATTTTTCATTTAATGTCTCCATTCCTATTTTCTGTTTATCAATAACAGCACCCCCAACTTTTAAATCATTTAATGGAGATAGTTTGTTTAGTACTTCAAGAAGAGATTCAGATGTCAATAAAGTATTACACAAAGCAGCAACTAATGGAATATAACTCCCATTAAAGACATACCCAGGAGAATTTTCAGATTCAGTTTGTGGTAGTTGCTTGAGTTTATTTGCAGTATTCTGAAATGCAGTCTGCCATTTGGGTAATCTCTCACTTAGGTTACTTAAATGGCTAATATTGAGGGATAATTTGGGGCTAGATGGCTGCACTAACAGTCCAGCACTAATTAAATTATTAAAAACATACAAAAACTTATATCCAAAAGCTAATAAGTATTTACTTACTAATGAATTGTATTCATCATAAGACAGACCTTGGGTTAAACTTAACAAACACATAAGACGTAAGCTATTATAAACATGAATATCCGTTCCAAAATGCTCATCTACATAAGTATAATTTCCTTTCTTATTTCGATTGTTTAACATTTCACATTCTGTTTGTGTCAAATTCTCAAATTTATTATTCATTTCTGCTATAATTGTTTCACAAGCTAATACATGGTTAACTAAATTATGTTTAAATAGCGTAACTTGTTGTAATTTTGTAGTGACATAATCTTTCATTTCTTGAATACCTAACGCTTTAATGTCCTCATTTTTTAAGAGCTTTGCTTTAGAACTTAAAACACTTAAAACTTCTGAGAAGTGTCTATGTTTTATTTCTCCATATAAGGTGTCAGTGAAACTATCTAATGTTATAACAGTTTTTTTATCAGATTTTTCCTCCGTTGTGAAGTTTACCTTACCTTTCTTTATTTTTGTTTCCTTAACATTAAGATCTAATTGTCCACAGTTAATACTAAATATCTCATTTAAAAGGCCAGTGTATGTGGCAGGTGTCAGCAGACTAGATGCATAGTCTTGATCTCTATCCATAATAATTAATGACCCAAAATCTTGACTTTTATCTAAATTTATGAAATCCCTTTGATAACTTTCTTTATATACTTCCAAAACATCCAAAACACTTGATGAAACTTTACCAAGAGATAAAATACACTTAGGATGGCCTGTTACATGAAACAAACTCCACAATGACATAGCAATACTACTCAACAGTGACTGATTTTGCTCAACAAAAACTTGCTTGTATAGAAAAGGTAATTCTAAACTTAACAATTGGTCATCTAAATTAAATAGTTCCCAGGAAAATGAATGTAGTTGAACAATATCATATAAGCCTTTGCTTTCAAGTATAGAGTCATATGTAGACATAGTTTTAGGGACTATGATAATGTGAAAACACTTTGTTTCCGAAAGAGATGGATTTAGGCTCAGTACTGAAGCTATCTGGTCTAGTACACATTTATACTTCTGAATACATGCAGGTATTAAGTATGCTCGTTTAGTATTGGCTGTTGCACCTAGTTGTGGATCCATTTTGTAGATTTTATCCACCCCATGTTGTCTGAAATATAATAAAAATTAAAATATATAATGTTTACATTTTGCACTCAGTAGCAATATATTGGCTTTCATGCTAAGTCCAAAAGCTAGAACCAGTGCAAATGCTACAGGTAGCTCTTACCTAAGCCAAGTAACTCCACAAATCCTTTCTAAAGGCTTTATAAGCATTGGATCAATAATAAAATCTATTTTATTTCCACATGTAGACAAAATACATTCTAGTTTGTGCTGAGAAACGAGGCTTAGAGAAGCCAATTTCAAGGATAATGGATGATCCATTATTAAAAGTATACATATAGTGATTAATTTATCATTCTAATTGAACATAAAATATTATGAATTATTATTTATTAATTAATATCAGATTCTATATTTCCATGTACATTTTTTTTATATCTGACGTCTCACCGCACGGTCTCACGTCTGGCAATTTTTCCATAGACATGATTTGCGATTGCAGAGTGCAGAGTGCAGACTGCAGACGCCAGACACCATACGTTAAGACGTACGTGTTGAAAAAATTATCATAGACGTAACATTATATTATTTCGCAATTTTGTCTGTACAGTGTAATGTCATTGCAAAGTTGTCACTTAGATGAAACTCAAAGTCAAAATATGATTGGCCTCGCTTAGTGTCTTCCGGTCATGCGTAGTTCTCTTCTTCGCAATTTCCTCCCCTCCGCCTCTTGCCGCGGAGTACTCGTCGTCGTAATATAAAATTTAAGTGAAATGGCTGCAAGATTTATCAAAAAAATCGTAAGTGTGTGATTAGTGTACCCCATAACTATTTTGTGTTATTATCTGCATGCTATCTCTATCATTGTTACTCTTAAAACCGTTTATAAAATATCATTAATTGTCCAAAAATAGACACTGTAGTTATGTCGAAGAATTACATAAATGCGCTTTTGAAGCCTTTTCGTGAGAGTAAAGTTGTAGAAAGCTTGTTAAAATTGTTTGATTCCGGGTCAAATAAGTCTTCTAGTGCGATTGGAACTGTTAAAAATGAGGTTAACATGATTTTTATTTCAAGTTAGTAAAATGTCTTGAAGGTTACGGTGTTCGATTTAAATTTGTGTTTTACTTAGGTCCCGGCGAGCAGGGCGGGTGTTGCCCAGTACAGCACCGGAGTACGTAAAGTTACATTAATCCCTGGTCATGGAATTGGACCTGAGATCACGGTAGCCGTACAAAAAATATTCGAAGCCGCCAAAGTGCCTATTGAATGGGATGAAGTGGACGTTACGGCTGTTAGGGTAAGTACCTTTAATGAAAATGATATTCCAATGACCAATCAACTTTACTAAGAATATATTTTTTCATAAACCATTACTTAAAACATGGTATTTTTCAAACTTTTAGGGTCCAGATGGCAAGTTTGGTATTCCTCAAAGAGCAATTGACTCTGTAAACGAAAACAAAATTGGTCTTAAAGGACCCTTAATGACCCCTGTTGGTAAAGGATACCGGTCTCTTAACTTAGCTCTACGAAAGGAGTTTGACTTATATGCTAATGTGCGGCCTTGCAAAAGTTTAGATGGGTATGTAATTAAAAATTATCTCTTAGTTAATATTTTTTGTAACTACTACTTATTTACCGACTTATTTACATACATAGTGTTTTAGTAATTTAGATTATTCAAGGTAAAACAAGTTCAAAGACTTCAATGACTTTTAAGTGTTTAATGTTATTTAAGATGATTGCAAGGTATTATTTGCTTTCTTTAAATTTTTCATATTTGTTTTGTATTGTATTAAATTCATACAGATTAAAATTTTATATGCAGAAGCTAACATAGATTATTAAGTAATCCATTATTAATCATAACTTAATCCTAGGTGTGTCAAAGAATTCTCAGTTATCAGTGACTGATTTGGTATGATTCAAGATGAAAAGCTTTGGCATTGTTTGTCTTGTCAATAACAATAATAAGTTGTAACTTGAAATAATGAGCAATATCAAATCTTTTGATATCAATGAAATTAAATGTTTTAACATTCTTCCATAATTTTCTCCTCACCAGTGTTAAAGTATTCAAGCATTTTTAAATTATTTGTTTTAAAGTTTATCTAATATCTAGAGGGCAAGTACAAAGATAAGTCACGTAAGTTTTAATGCTGATAAAGAATTAAATGTCAGTAATCCCGGTAGAATGTAATATCAAGGTTTTTGATAAAAAACTGGAAAACTGATTTGATAAGTTATCAAGAAATTACTATTATATATTATTAGATAATTTATAGTAATAGCTAGAGATAACTCATTGATCTATATTTTATGATTTAATGTTTAAGTTCAAAATAATAATATGATACTATTGCAGCCAAACAAAAAACATATTCCTTAACATTTTCACTGCCTTCAGTAATAAGATATGACCTACTTAAAAAGAAAGTGGTCTAATTTCCATTACTATGGTGACCAAAAGTTGCCAAAGCTGCATATAAAAATGTAATTAGAAAAAGTTATATTTCAATAACAAATTACAAAGTGACTACAACAATGTTTCTACAATGGAATACTGCCAACCATTTGAATAAACAATGTACAACTCACTTTTCAGTCATAAATCTAATCGTACTGTTATTTAACACAAAACATTTGTCCTTGTAACATTTAAATTTAATATATACTTGATGACACCAGAAGAATGTCATGGATATTGTGTGCATAATTTTTCTGTCTCGGACGAAAAGTTACCAAAATTATCACACTGGCTTATCATAACGCTTAATCAATGTAACATGTGTTAACATACTTTTTTGGCTAATGTATTTAAGTAAAACTTTTTTGATATAAACCAAATTGATTATTTACATTAAGAAACTCCTGAAAATCAGTGATCCTATGATTGTTATTAAGTTTATTATATTATTATTTTTAATTCTCAGTTCTATCTGACATGGCCTTTTTGTGAATTCTGAACAACTTTATAGTCTTTATTTTATCATATTATTATAAATAGTAATAATTATAAGTTAAATTTGTTTCAGAATTTACTTTATTGAATTTTTTATATAATTTCTTCTAGAATCAAGACATTATACGATAACGTGGACGTAGTAACCATCCGTGAGAACACCGAGGGTGAATATTCAGGTATTGAGCACGAAATCGTGGATGGAGTCGTCCAATCCATCAAATTGATTACTGAGGAAGCCAGTAAGAGAGTTGCAGAGTTCGCCTTCCAATTCGCAAAGGACAACAAAAGGAAGAAGGTCACTGCAGTACATAAGGCTAACATTATGTAAGTTTTAGAACGACTAAAGTAGATTTCCGATTGAAAAAAAAAAAATGAAATATAACAGAAAATTATAAAGAACGTAGTTATAAGTATTTTTAATCGCATTGTTAGCGCTGTATATCGTTTTGCTACTTTAGAAAAAGCTTTGTTACAAACAATGACGGAGTTTATCTGATAGGGAAATTAATATCACCATAACTGTAACAAATGCTGTAAGAAATGATAACAAAAAAAATGTTATCATGTATGACGATAATTCAATAATCAAATACAAGATAAATAGCATAGTATAGTTGAATTGGGTGTTGGATGACGACTTTTATTGATGCTAATCGGTGTATGTTACACCTCATATCTAAATTGTTACGTCAAATTGTAGAAGTCGGTAGCATTCGTAGACTGTATGAACTGGTATAGACGAGTTATAATAGGTTTCCTTAAAAACTATATACAATCTATTTGATTTATGATATATTGACTCATTGACTATCCATACATTCGACGTAATAGTATCGTCACGTTTTGCGGAATTCCTTTTCTTTTGGGACCGGGAGACAAACGACGTATGCAGCTCTACAAGGCTCAAGTATGACCTCATGGTGCTCCCAAATATCAGCTTCTTTCTTTTGGCCAAGTTCAGCGAAGGCCTTGTCGAAATTCTCTAGAGACATTGCGTCTCTATGCGTATTCTAAAAAGTGTACTATGGAGAGTGTTCTGCAGAGTTGTTTGGGTTGATCCCTCCTGCCTCGTTTCACCACCTTACGAGCCGTATTAATTCAAAATTTAATCAGCATCACCCTGATGGCTGGAAGTCTTTCACGGTCCGCTTCACAAGATTTTATTTTGTGAAGTAGTGAACTATGGAATCGACTCTCGGTGGTGGTCATCCCTAGGTCATATGACCTCCAATAGTTTAAAGAAAGAGTATACTCCTCCCTTATAGGCCGACAACGCATCCGCTAAATATGGGTGCGATGACTGCCGTTTTTGGACGTCACGTAGGCGCGCGTACTACAAAAAAACGATAGAGCGAGTCACTTCGAAAGAAGTGCTTAACGGCGCCCATGGGCACCTACAATGCCAAATTGATTCCAAACTTAAAGGTACTTTTCTTGAAGGTGGCCCCTATGTCGTATCGGTTCGAAAATAATTCTACTGGCAGCTAGTTCCACAAAGAAGTCGTGCCCGACCGTTGTGACTTGTGAGAGGCCTCGCGCATATTTATACATAAAAATCTTATAAAACGACTTCTGTACTTGTAATAATTTTCACCTTAATTCCTAATAGAAAATGCTGTTAGGTGAGCTGTATTATGATTTGAGAAAATCCAAAATCAAATAACTACAACCACTTCAGATATGAATGCCACTAAAGAATATTGTAACTTTCTGTTGGAGTACTTTTATTTCTGAATTTGTTAATTTTCAAGAGAAACTTCCTTACAAACTACTCTTTAAAATATTTGTGTAGACTCTAAAAATTATACAATGCTTAGAGATATAACTTAATAGTTATAATATTAAAAATTTCAGGCGTATGTCAGACGGTCTTTTCCTTCGGTGTTGTCGTGAGATGGCTACTAAGTACCCTGATATCAAGTTTGAGGAGAGATATCTGGACACTGTATGTCTTAACATGGTCCAAGATCCATCAAAGTTCGATGTTTTGGTAAGTATACACTTAAATTTTAAGTAATTAACAGAGAGAAATGTCCCTTATGTGAAATGTATTTAAATAGAAAATAAAAAATATAATTAACTAGTGGACCCCACAGACGTTGTCCTGCATGATATTTAAAGCGATTAGGATATTAAGCAAAGTATGAAAGTACCGACTGCAGTGCCATCTGCCGGGCTGATTTGTGAATCTAAACCATTCCCAGATCCCCTTGAACACACACAAAAAATTTCATCAAAATCGGTCCAGTCGTTTAGGAGGAGTTCAGTCACATACACACGCACACAAGAAATATATATATTAAGATTAAATAGAAAATAAAAAATATAATTAATAAACCATTGAACTCATACTCAGACCGTCATAGTCGTAGAATAGTGACGGTATGTATGACAAATAGTAAACTTTACACGGCAGCCATTTCAAAATAATATAATCATATTAATTTTTGTCATAACTATTTTAATTCATATTCTGTTATTATGAAAATTGGCATACAAGTAAACAAAAGGGTTTGTTTTGAAACAAAATAAAAATAATAACATTAAATTAGACAGTTTTCTAGAAAAATCACATGTTTCTATCAAATCCGTCACTTTACAGACTGATTAATTCGAAATTTAAAACACATGGAATATTTTTTTTATGTAGCCGTAATATTTAGTAATTGTAGTATCCAAATATGATAAAAAGTGGATTTAGGATTTTTTTCAAATCCGACCTTGTTCTACGATCATGACGATATGTTTAAAACTAACCCTTTAAATATATTTTATACAGTGTAATCTCTACATAACGACACTCAATGGACTGTGCTTATTTTTACGTTACAAAGAAGAAAAATCTGTTAGAAGAATTTATTACAGAGTAGTACTAGTAATTACATAAAAAACAATTCTTATTTGAACGCTATTGTATGTTGTCTGTAATTTTCGTCTGACGTCTTTTACTGCATCAGTAATTATGTTGTATTTTTTTTTTACTTATTTTATTGATTTTGCTATATTGAAGTATCTTCGCGATAAAGCACATGCAAACAATCCCAATTTTTAAACATTACTTCGGATTTCATAGAAAGTTTGGTACGTATGATGCAGTCAGTCGAATTAATTACGGGCTAGGTCAATAAAGCGACAAAAGTAGGTAAAGCTCCGTAGTTTAAACTAATTTCGGTAACTTAAAAAGTACTTTTTATGATTTAATTGTCGTTAATGAGGATGGGTGTAATGCTATGTAGAGTGTATCAGTATGGAAGACAAGCTTAACCAACAAAAGCCGAGTGATTTCGACGCTTTAGGGGGTTTGTCGTAATCGCGGACCGTTACGTGGAGTTTACACTGTATATAGATATAAATTAGGACAATAGTGAAATAATTTATACGGAGTAATATTTTTTTAATTAAAAACGGATTATAGATTGATTGATGAACCAATTATTACAGGTGATGCCCAACTTGTATGGAGACATTATGTCGGACATGTGTTCCGGTCTGGTCGGAGGTTTAGGTTTGACTCCTTCTGGAAACATCGGCAAGAATGGAGCGCTCTTTGAGTCTGTGAGTAGTAGCTCTATAAATAGTCTAAGAATAAACGGAATGATTTTATAGTTTGAAAATTTTTCGAGTATCGTAATTTCAAATGGAATTAAAAGAAGGTTGTGTTCCGATTTTGGAACTCTATAGTTTATGGTATATTACCTATAAATTAATGTCAATGTCACAAATACTATTATTTTAACAAAAATTATAGGGCAGCTTAGTTGATAGTAAAATATTAGGATATTGAGTATTAACTAAACTAAGACAGTATTACCGTTATTCAATACAAATAACATGTTTTAAATATTTTTAAAAACTTAAAACCATTCGCCATTACACCGGAAACCATTTTGATGGACAAGTGATTGATAAAACAGTGTTTTTTTCATCATAAAATGTAAGTTTTTATGAACCAACCGGTGTGGGGACATGCATGACACTCGCATGAAACTATCCACTTGTCACCTCTAATAACATAAAACTTGAAGTGTCTCTCTAGGCATATATGTTACACATGTCATTTAAAAAATAATCATATCACAATTATTAGTATTCGGAAAAATAAAGAAAAACTCATGCAGAAAATATATGTTACATGTAATATATTGTCTTTATTGATTGTATTTAAATAAAATAAAATTTAATTTTAATGAAATAAAATTTCCAACTCTGCCTAAAGGGATTATTGTCTGTGGTGACGTATTATAGATGTTTCATATGCTTTGTGAATGTCCAAATATATCCTAACATAAATAATATAATCATAATATATATATTATGTCTGGTAAAATAATATAAAAGTACCTTGCTCATTTACTTATGACTAATAAAATGCAGTCAGCATTAAATGTCCTTGTATTCATTAAGTTAATGCCCTTATTTAGAAATTATATTTGGCCTTTTCTTGACTTGGGTCTTGATAAATTTGTTGTATTCGTTCATACAAATTCAGTAAATAGTTTTTTAATTCATTTTTAAATGCATAATAAGGGCATAAACTGCTTTAATCTGTGTACTAACCTCCTACCATCTACTAAGGTGCATGGTACAGCGCCAGCCATCGCGGGACAAGACAAGGCGAATCCTACGGCTTTGCTACTCTCCGGTGTTATGATGCTGCGATACATGCGTCTATTAGAACAAGCTGATAAAATTGAAAATGCCTGCTTCACTGTCCTAAAGGAGGGAAGGGTTCTTACTGAAGATCTTGGAGGCAACAGCACTTGTTCAGCGTTCACGCAAGAGATCATCAAGAACCTTGATTAAATTCGTCTAAAATTTTCTCTTAGGTAGCTAAAGTTAGTGGTCTAACGGTCGTTTGATTTTCGTCGATAATCAGACTTCATGTTTCCTGAAATTAATTAAATATTCTGACTATTTTTGTTCACTTGATATGTGTTTAAACGCGACGGCTGTTAGATATGTTTAACCCAAAAATGTTAAATGTAATTTAATTTTAATGTGTTATAACCATACATAAATCAATGAAATTGTGAAAGTTTCAGCCATGTATTTACAGTATTGACAATAGCAATAAGTTTGTGAATTTATTAGTTATATTGCTAATTTTTAACTCAACACCTGTTTTCATCAAATGCAGTTTAATTTTAATATTAAGTTAAGTAGGACAAATTGAACCTAATGAGTATTATGTTAGTAAGATCTGCTGAGTATTTGAAATAGCGTCCGTGAGGAGAACAGTTAGTTCTTAACGAAAATAAAATTAAAATTCGACTAGCTTTGTCTTATGAGAAAAAGTTAATGATTAAATAAAACAAAAAATAATTTATACAGAAAGTTTTTGACAATAGTCAACCACGGAAGATAAAAAATATGAAGTGCTCCTTTGTACAATATTAAACTGCCGATATGTGTAATATGTTTTATCTATTTTAATATTAAAATATTATGAAGACTGGCAACTTTACTAAAATTCAATTGCAGCTCATATGATAATGTTGCCAGGCTTGTGAGCTAATTGCTGTTACCAGTTAATATAAGTGAGAAATGGCTGTTTCAATGTATTGTGATGTTGTTAAGGTTAATATTAACAATTGTCGGCTATTGACGCTAGTAAACACACCCTTTGACAGTAATTGACAGCAACACCAAGATAGAAAAACAGCAAAACATTTTATTAATGACTATTATATTATAACTGTATTGATATTGTTTACTACGCGTAATTAGCGACATTTGTTCCCATTTTATTATATGCCTTAGTGAATTTTAATTTAACTTAGCTTTACAATATTGCTATTATGTAATATTATGTACTTATTTAATTTGTTCCTTAGCTCGTTCCAAATGCATTTTGATTTATGTATTTTTTATTATTTTTACAGTATTGTATTTAATCAAGTTCAAAATCAGATTTAATCTGACAATAAAACCGACATGCATTAAAGTAATTATGATGTTTTTGTAGATTAATCTTATTTTATGTAGTACAAAAATGCAAAGGAAATTGTGATTTTATTTTATTCTTCTCAACTTTCCCTAACATCCTACCCTAACCATGATTTCAAAACATAGTACACAATTAAAGGTATACTCAGGTATGTACTACATATTTCCATACGTGTAGAGCGTATATATAATATATATTAGAAATGCGCACAGGTATGAATTTTGTGATAGATTTTTAAAAGAGTGTAGTTTTAAATTGTTTTCTTCCAAAACAAGTCTAGTGGCATTTGCATCGGGTTGTAATCCAGTCTAATTCTACGTGATATGAATACTTTTGTATATGTTAAATATAATCATTATATCCTGGATATAGCTAATATCTTGCACACTGGTTTTATATTAAATCTTGCTATTACAGGTACATGGAACTGCCCCAGATATTGCTGGCAAGGATATGGCAAATCCAACAGCATTGCTTCTATCTGCCATTATGATGTTACGGCACTTGCAACTTAATGAACATGCTGATAAGGTCCAACATGCTTGTTATACGGTATTAGCGGAAGGCAAGTCGCTAACTGGAGATCTGGGAGGTACTGCTAAATGTAGCGAGTACACGAATGCAATTATTTCCAAACTGTAATTTAGCAGTTCACCCGTTGTCAAATAATATGTAATATTTATTTTAAAATTTCCAAAGACTACATTAATGTTATAAATATAGTCACATTATGAAGAGCAATATTTAGGTATTCCCGTAATTCGAATGATTTATTATTCTAATTTTTGTCTTTGATAAAATTCTACTACTATAATAACATGTTTTATTTCACACATCCTTATAGTTCTTGTCACAAGGGTTTTAAAGTTAAAATCTGCGCACCTCTTCTGTCATATATTTACTTCGCACTGAGCGAATTATCAAATAAGTTATATGGACAAGATCTGTTTTTGCCTATCCATACTATCCCGAGAGTGGACGATGCGCTCGTATCGCCTTCATGCCGCCTCAGTTTTCTGGAGCGCAAGTCAAAGGACGCATGCGGGGGAGGCGAGAGCAAGAACCGCTCTTGCGTTTGCTTACTTTGTTAACTACTACAATATAAGGACACGCGCCTTTTCTTATGATGGAGTGGAGTAACGGTTTTTGTATGGTTTTTATAGAAGTTTATCAATTAATAAAAATAATTAAATACAGGAGTTAAACTAATTTATGCCAACTTTTAAAGGACATCTAAGAAATAAAAAGCTTAAATTATATGTATACTATGATTAGCACGATAATATGATTGTATTTGTGATATAAACCCAAGGCATTATAATATTGGTAGAGACGTAAAGAAGCTAACGTAGTCATTCCAATCACATTCATCTTGTAGTAGAAACAAAGAACAATTATATCAACCGAGTGTGCTGACTCCTGTGTGGAATTGTGGATGGCAGGGCTACTACGGCTTTACAAACACGCTTTGCGATAGGCTTTGAAGCGCGATGAAAATATTCCCCCAATATGCCTATTAAATTTACATTGGAAGTTGATGAATAACAATTTAACTTAAATTATTGTAAACATTCCGTCCAAGTAGTAACGAAAGTGCAATTACTTTTTTGAATTCTCTCATCACCACAGAAAGAATTGAAATTAGAAAATATGTCGTAACTTTAAACCATGGAGGCATGGAATAGAATATGTACTTCAAAATATTAAAATATGATATGTTGATTGTCTTTGAAATATCATAATATGTCATCTGGTGTGACATTTCATATGGCGAATATGTCAAAGCTGAAAGATGAAATGAGCAATCCTAATTCCTAAATCCCAATCGAGCATTTTAAACTTCAAAGTTTAAAACTCGTGTTGTTTACGTCTTTATAACCTTAAAATATTGTATAAAAGAATACGATAAATAATATAGTTGAAAATACTTAACGTCATGGTAAAACGGGTAAGTTAAGCATAAAAAAAACGCAATAAAATATAGTTAACACTTTTTGTTTGATTATTGATATATTCTTATTGTTTTCAGCAAATGAAATCATCTACGAGAGATGATGGTGAAATAAATATTTTGAATGAAAATGGAAAACGTCCCGCAGAAGATGGAAGTAAAGAAAACAAAAAACGCACCCGCATAAAAAACTTATATCGTCAGCCTACTGCTAAAGAATTAAATCGACTTAATGAAACTGAAAATTTATTTAATTCTAACTTGTTTCGACTACAGATCGATGAAGTTTTAGAAGAAGTTAAGCTTACAGAAAAGACTACAAAGCGATTTACTATATGGTTTAATTCTTTTAGAGAATATTTACTTTCTATTACTGAAGATAATGTAGAATATGACCTGTCCGAAAAGACCTTAACAAAGTATTTAAAGACAAGTCTTCCAGTTTGTGAGGAACTTAATAAAACAAAGGCGATATTCCAATTTCACAAATTTAAAGATATTAACATTGTTGGTTCATTTGACACCGGTACTGCCATAAATGCATCCCTTTTAGTAGATTTACAAATATCAGTACCAGCTGAGACATATACAAAAAATGATTCAATTAATTATCGATTTCATAAAAAGCGTGCTGCTTACTTAGCTTTTATTGCCTCATATTTACAAAAATCAAATTTAGTAGAGGAGTTGAAGTATTCTTGGTGCAATATGTGTGTAACAAAACCTGTGATTGATCTAAAACCTAGTGGTAAACTTGGTAACTACTTGAAAGTGAGACTAAACCTTGTCTGTGATGAGGAGGCATACAAACTTCATAGATTTTCACCAGGTCGTAATAATTTACGTGAATCATGGTTGTTGTCAGAAAAGCAAGAAAATGTTACTGAAGTTGGCCCTCCAACACCTTATTATAATTGCAGTGTTTTGAGTGATATAACAGCTAATATAAATAACAATTTTGTTAAAGAAATATTATCAAATTGTGAAAATTTAAAGCAAGCAATCATTTTGTTAAAAATCTGGCTTAGACAACGAAAACTCTGTGTGTCAGGCCATATTATAAGTTTGCTGGTGTGCTGTTTAGTGCAGATGAAAAGAATTAATAATATTATGAGCAGCTATCAAATTATAAGAAATGTATGGATATATTTGAGTAAGTTCTTTGTTTAATTATTTAACAAAAATGTTATTAAGTTCTTTAGTGACAATCTACAAGATTAAAAATGAAGTAATAAATTCTTAAAACCCAGCTTAACCAAATATAATTTTTTTTTTCTTTTGTCAGAAACATCAAAATGGGACACAGAAGGCCTCTCTCTTTGTAAATCTGAAGACTCTCCGCACATTGAACAGTTCTTAGAACATTTTCCTGTTGTATTTCTTGACAAAACTGGATACTATAACATCTGTTGGCAAATGTGTAAAGGCACGTACAATGCATTGAGGCGTGAGAGTGAATTGGCAGTTGATATGTTGGACAGTACAAAACTAAACAGCTTTATACCACTATTCATGGTTCCAATATCTAATTTAATTCAGTTTGATCATATAGTTAGGTGAGTTTATATATGTTATGTGTAGTGTTATCTTCTTCAACACATTCAGTACTCTGTACTAGTGGCTTAAACTGTATTTAGCCTGAATCATTTCTAGTTATGTCTTTGACCTTTGATAAATGGAAGTATATAGTATTTTCATGTTTCAGATTTCAAAACCTACAGAAATTAAAAACATTAGTGTTACAAAGAGTGCCAAAAGAAGACAAAATTAACTTTGGTGTTGATGAACTACCGTTAGTAGTAAATAATATTTATAAACTACTTACAAAAGGGCTAACAGATAGAGCCGATTTGATTCTACAATTCGTAGAGACAGACTTTTCATGGCCAGTTAAGAAGACTCCAGAGAAATGTAAAGATGTGGGGTGAGTTTTATATAGACAACATTTTTTATTAAAAGTAAAATTTAACTGCCTTAAATGCAGTATAAAAATTGTAGATTTACAAAATTCCATTATTAAATAAATTTACAATGACTTCTGCACTAATTATTAGGTATGACACTTATTTGCCAGGATTAGTAACACTTTATAAGGTTAGAAAAATAAATAAATTTAAAACCTAAAGAGGTAGCTTGCAATGATATTTCTTTATTACTGACAATATTCAGAAATGTGTTTTTGTCCCAATGTCTTTAGGATTAATCTTCACATGAAATCATTGTAGTATTATGAGTAATAATATAATATTAATAGTGTGTTACTAGCCCTCAATTATATTTGAAGTAATGTTGTGTTTTGCAGATTTGAGGAAAAGTTGTCATTTGGTTTAATCTTGAATTCAGCAAATGCAATCAAAATTGTTGATAAAGGACCCCAAGCCAATCTTCCTGAAGCAGAACAATTTCGGTAACATTATAAATTAGATGTTTTATTCACCTCTGTGTTTTCACAGTTTCGCAAACTGTTCAATATTTTTAAATACAAGCCGTAATTGCTACTAGTCGTTAGTATTTCTATATATACAAAAATACGTCTCTCTCTCTCGGCACTAGGCATAGACAATGTAAAGTAGATCTAAAAAAAAAAAATTTTTTTGTTTCCAAAGAAATCTCATTTTTTAATTCTCATATCTAACATTTATAGATTGTTCTGGGGAGACAAATCAGAGCTGCGTCGTTTCGGTGACGGGTCGCACGTAGAGGCGTGCGTTTGGAATGCGGATACGTTCTCAGAACGACGGGCTATTTCTACCCAAATTGTGGACTATCTGATGAAATTAAAATACGGTTAGTGATTAAAATCATTGTGGTATATGTAGATATAATCATGGTATAGGGGTCTTGGTATTCTTTATCAAAATATACGGATACAAATATCATATAATCATATATCATTTGTTTAATGCAAGTCTATGTACTTTCCATAAGTTGCCTTGCCTTTAAGTTTATTTATTTATTTCGTTATTACATATAACAGATTACCCTAAAAAATCATTTCAGATATACCACAATCTGAGATTTTCCATATCTGCAATCAGCTTGATACTTTGACAGCTCGTAAAATGGCGGCTTGCGAACAGAGCGAAGAGCTCTCTGTCAAAGTGTTGCAAACGTTTGAAGAATTACGTAGAGATATGCGAGCTCTTACTCAGCTGCCGTTGGAAATTAGCGCAGTATATGGTAAGTAATAAATGCGTGGCCAAGAATCGAATGACAGCTTTTTATATAATTGGGGGGGGTAATCGAGCCTACGGAACAACCATGAAAGCCAGCTGCCGCATTCGTAACGTAACGAATTTTGGGGGGGGAGTGTCCTTTTGTAAAACGTTACGATGCGGGGCGAGGATTGAATTACGCGTTATTGTTAATATTATTTTCGACTTTCCAGTAGTTTACGGTACAGAAAAACGTTACGGCGCGTTACATGGAGGGGGGGAGGGGGGTTGTCAATAATCAAATCAAAGGGAGGGCAAACTTGCTGAGTTTCTTGCCCGTTCATTATCAGAACAAGGCTTTCTGGTTGTTTTGCCGGACGGACATAGTCTTGCTCTTTGTGAATTTTGTAAAGTTGTTGACATTCATAAGCATGCTCTAAGAAGCACTTTAAATTGAACAAACAAATTTAGATTTTGATCCGATATGCCCTTTTTTTTTAAAGACAAACAAATAGACGACCTCACCTCTTAAAAAT